TGGGTATGGGTGATCTGTAACATATAACTTGGGAGTATGGGAGTGGCACGGAAAGCCTGGTAGGGAAGCTGGCGTATCAGCTCGGGAAACCTGCTTGAAAGACTGGAGGGAGAGTCTAGTCTCATGCACTTAATTGATGAAATACTTTTCAGAACATCCTCCAGCCTTGGAAATGGCACCATGTTAACTCTGCTAAAAGAACGTAAATTGAATGATTTAATACTTTCTGATCCTGAATATGGTTTGTATAGAGTTAATGGTAACTGCACATTGATGTTGTACTACCTTGCTAAACTAGGAGTATGTTGGTAGTGGATATTTGTATAGAAAACTGAAACTTTCAACTACTAAAAGCAGAAAAAGGAATGTAGCAGGAAATCTGTTAGTGTAAGTTTCTCTTTAATGTAGTTGCTTTATACTAGATGAAAGGTGCCCAGGAATTTCCCATCTGTGTCAATGAACTGTTCTGTAATCTTAGTGAATTATTTAGACTTGGATGTAACATCTTTAAAAATTTTCCTTTTGTTATTACTTGTGAATGATTGGTGAGGTGTATGAAGGGAAGAGAGTCCATTCTGATTTCACTCCCTGAAGAGGTCATCCCTTTTCCCCGCACTTGCATACCCTAAGGTGCAAGACGGGAATTGGCAGCCCACGGTGTTTGCACAAAAGGCAGTGGGCGTGCAGACCTTGGCTCGCCGCAGGGCTGGGAGCTGGAACCGCAAGATCTGGAGGCAGGCGTCTGTGAGAGGCAGTGTCAGTCGGTACATTTACCTTCTCAGCTGATTAGCACTCCTGAAAGACTGCTGACCTCTGGTATTAAGAAACATCTGATTAGCTGTGCGTTTGGATTCATCACTTAGAACATGAAAACTGGAGATGTTTAGACTGTTACAATTCCTAGATTCCTTTTCCTGCTCTTGTTTAATTTCTCCATTTATGTTAGTCTGTGCCTGGGTAGTAACCAGATCTGAAGGGGTTAGCTTTGTTTGTGCTCATTTGAAACAAAACCAAACACATGTTCTAGTTTAAACAATCTCACT